AGGGATAGACGTCAGCTTGTGGGTATCGGTGACGCCGGGTTTGTATACCACCAGGAGCCAATGCTGCAGACACCGCATGCGAAGACACGCATGTGCGATGACGTATGTTGTAGCCGCCATGTGGCCTAACAACTTCAGGCACGTGAGGAACGAAACTGCCAGAGCGGTGCGCAGGACGTTCACTAAGTCCCGGATGGCATTGGCTCTGTCTATGGGTAAGTACGCCATGGCGGTTGTAGAGTCTATTCTGGCTCCGATGAACTCGATGGACTAGGCCGGGGTCAAAGAAGATTTTGGTAGGTTGATGATCAACCCTAGAGCCTCGAAGATGCCTCTTGTAATAACAACTGTGGTCTGGGCCTTTCCCATAGAGGGGGCCCTGAGGAGGCAGTCAGAGGTATGTGGCTACAACTGCCAGGGTTTTTGAAAATACCCTTGGAGCCGCAGAGAGAATGAAAGGAAGTACTGCATATTGGTAGTGGTCCTTGCCCAGGGTGAAGCATAGAAATCTCCTGTGAACCGGATGGATGGAGATATGAAAGTATGCATCCTGGAGGTCGAGGGACGCGAACCAGTCCCCCTGATATAGTGCTGGTATGATGGAGCCCAAAGTAACCATTTTGAATTTTTGCTTCCTCAGGTGGTGGTTGAGGCCACGAAGATCTAGAATCGGTCTCCACCCGCCAGATTTCTTCTGCGTGAGGAAGTACCGGGAATAGAAGCTTTTGCCTCTGAAGTCGGAAGGAACCTCCTCCACTGCACCAGTGATAAGTAGGTGCGTGACCTCCTGCTGCAGTAGAAGGTCGTGAGAGGGGTCCCTGAAAAGGGACAGGGATGGAGGGTTGGAGTGGGGGAGGGTGGAGAAAGGAATGGTGAGACCAGAGGTGACGATCTCCCTGACCCAATGGTCCGTGGTGACGGTGAACCAGTGGCGGTAACAGGGTCTCAGGCGATACTGGAACAGCTTGGTTACTTGTGGGTAGGGCTTCGAAAGGGGGATGGTGCGCAGTCCCTCGACAAGGGCGTCAAACCTGCTGTCGGGGTTGTTATTGATTCTGCGGCTTATTAGGCTGTTGGCACCGTCGCTGAGGGCGCTGCCTTTGCTTGTGTTGGTTATATGGTCTAAAGCGTTGGGCGGTATAGGAGGAAAGCCTATGTCTGTTGTATGGCCATGCTCTCTTGCGCCTGTAAGGTGGAGTGTACATCCTGAGGGTTCTTAACGTAGATTGGGAGTCTTTTCCAGAATGGAACACTTGATCTGTGTTCTGTGTAAACAATAAGGCGCAGTCGAACAGGAGGTCCTCCACCTTGGGTTGTAGCTCTTTAGGCACGGAGGCCAGGTGTAGCCAAGAGGCATGTCGCATGACAACAGACGTTGCCGTAGTGCGGGAAGCCAAATTAGCAATATCCAGATAGATCTGGAGAGCAGTGCGGGCTGCTGTAAAACCCTCCTGCATGATAGATTTAAGTACGTCTCTCTTGGAATCTGGTAAATGCTGTATCACAGGCACCAACTTAGAGAAATTGTCAAAATCGTGGTTAGCAAGTTGGGCGGAATAGTTGGCCATTCTCAGAGTGGCAGTAGCGGATGAATACACCTTCCTCCCGAGGAGGTCGGGACGCTTCACTTCCTTGTCCGCCACTGAATTTCTCGATTGTGCGGACTTTGCCTTTTGTTGGGCAGCATTGATGACGATGGAATTGGGGGCGGGATGAGTGAAGAGAAATTCCGCATCCTTAGCGTCGATAAAGTATTTCTTATCCATGCGCTTATTTGTACAGGGCACGGACGCTGGAGTCTGCCAGATGTCGTTAGAGATTCCAAGAATTGCGGCATCGAAAGGAAGAGCCAGCTTTGACTTGTGGGATTGTTGGAGATTCCTGAGGAGTGCATGCTGCTTCTGGGGTACTTCCGAGGTACATAAATTCTGTGAATAGGTGACTCTTCTAAAAAGCTCGTGAAACTGCTTGTAATCATCCACCAGAGCGGGCTCATCATTAAAAACCGCATTATCTGGGGTGGTCTGTCGGGGAACCTGTGGGTTGCTGGTCCGTCGCCGGGGACTGAGGGACGTCACCGTGGGGAGCGGATGTTGTTGAAGCGTCGCCGATAGGTGTTGGATAGGACACCGATAGGACACTGCACGGGTGGGATGGTATCTTGGGTCCTTGGTTGTGGCGAGTATGATTGATGACGTTCTGGGGACAAGGATGGTGAAAGCCTCGTAGAAGAGCTTGAACGGTCACGATAGTGCGAGGTGTGCCATCTGTGATGGTAATCATGGTGGGAGTATGCAGGAGAATATGAGGTGGCGCTCCTGTGATGATGAAAACGCGAATGTGATATTGGGGATCGTGAGCGATGGGAATAATGAGATGAAGACCTCGAGTAGTATGCGTGACGATAACGTAGTGGTGTAATAGATCGTCTCAGGGATCTCCAGTATCGTCGAGTGGGAGAATGCCCATAGTAATGCTGCCCCCTTTGATGAGAGGAAAGTGATGGCTCAGGGGAGAAGACTGCTCTGCCAGGGCTGGAGGAAGGTGTGAGGACATGGTGTGTTTTCCTCTGTGCCTTAGTTGGTATTCTCTTGGATGGGGGAGCCATCAGAACTGGGATGCCGTGGACCGAGATGGCAGAGGCAGATACATCCTTTGATAGGCATGGTGACCTAGGCACCGAGAATGGGGATGGCGGTGCTGCGTCCTCTCCTGAAGCAGCAAATTGTTGGGCCTTGGGAACCGGGTCTGATGGGATTGGCGGCGTTGTCTGGGTAACATGCATTGGTCGCTCCGTGGAGGCCAGTGCGGATGTGCTGTGTTGGTGCCTTGATAAGGGCTCTTCGCCGCAGTGTCGAGGTGGTTCTCCTGGCCTTGAATGGGGCCGGAGCGGTCTTGGCACCGATTGCTTCCTCGGTGCCAGCTTGGCCCTCGGTGCTGGCTCGGCCCGCGGTGCAGGGGCGCCTGCATAGGGAGACTCTGTTCTAGCTGGGGGCTCTTTCACCGGTGCTGGATGAGGTCTCGGTTTTGGAGACGGTGCCGTGTCTGCCTGCGGTGCCGTGTGGAGAGTCAGTGCCATAGATGAAGGTGCCGACTCGACGCACTGTCGGTGCCGATGCTACAGGGAGTGCGGGAATAGGCACCGATGTGCTGTGGGTTTTAGTTGTCTTATCCGCTCCCTGTCTGGGAGGGAAGCCCGATGAGCTCCGTCCCTCTCCTGCACTTACGCTCCTAGACGGAGCAGAGCTTTTTCCGACCCGAGACTTACATGGGACTGAAGCCTCTCGTTCCCCTGCTGACGGGGGTTGGAGCGCCTTATTGAAGAGCAACATCTTCAGGCGCATTTCTCTGTCCCGTCTTGCCCGAGCGGTCAACTTAGAGCAGAGACTGCATTTTTGGGGAATGTGGCTGTCTGCCAGGCAGCAAATGCAGCAGGAGTGGCCATCCGAGGCCAGCATGGGGTCGGCGCATTTCTTAAAGCCCAGGGATCCAGGTATGATTAATCCGGCAGTCTTCGGGTAGAAAGACAACTTGAAAGGCCGGTCCAAGCCGCCTATAGACAACGGTAACAGTCAACTTTTTTTTTTAAACAACTAACTAGAAAAAACTGACTAATACTATAAGGAAGGGGCTAACTGGGAAGGAACAGTAACGATATTAAGTTCAATTTTCCTCAGACAAGGAGGAGCGTGTTCCAACTCCGTCTGCGGCCATGGATGCTTAGGAGGAACTGGCGCGTCGGACCGCTCAACGCAGAAAAGGCGCGAACAGCGCAAGGCACTTCTGCGCATGCGCGGTCCACCGGAGGGGGATACTGCTGGCGAAAACTCTCCGGATTGCGGCGCCGGGACGAGCCTGACACCTTTAGTGGAGCATCCACGGGGACATCATTTGAAGAAGAAGAGCTCTTCCAGAAGAGGCTTTTCCAAAATTTGGTCCAATGTAGATGGGCCAAATTTTGGAAAAGTCTCTTCCAACAAAACTATCAGAAAAATTGCACTCCGCAATTTGCGTACCTTTTTCAGATAAAAACATTGCAGTGTACATGTAGCCATAAGGACACTACTTGAAGAAGAACCACGAGACAACATTCAGAACAAGCCTCCAAAAATGCAGAAATTATTACATAATACAATGACAGAGAACCGAAGGCCAACCTCACAGAGAGGGCAGACACTCCAAAGAGAAAGAATATGGTAACAGGGAGACAGAGATAAGTCATTTCTGGTGCGGTTGCCTCTTGGCAAGACCAAACTATCTCAAAGACTACGTAACCAGCTGATTTTGTGGTAAAGACTCCAACTTAACTATGTGCTAACATCCTGTGGTCCAAGGGCATAGACGTCAGCTTTCTTTGGGCCTGGGAGGTATGCAGCCCTGTGCTCCACCCCAGAAACTGACCCCTACATGACCCCTTTCCTTGAGCCCCTCCATACTGCCTCTTCCCATCCCTGCTCCGCCCCAGAGCACTCACTACCCCTTCTCCCAAGTCCTTACTCTCACTTCACCTCTTCCCACCCCCTCCAAGCATGCCTATCTCCACTCCTCCCCCTTCCTCTAGAGCCTCCTGCATACCGTGAAACAGTTGATTGAGGTGGATAGTAGGCACTGGAAGGGAGGGGAAGAGGTTAATAGGGAAGGTTTGCCCAGGGGCAGGAGGTGCTGGAGAAGAAGGGAGAGCTGGCTGCCAGTGGATGCTAAACACCTGATTTCCTTCTGTGGGTGCTCCAGCCCCGGGACACATATGGAGTGGGCACCTATGTCCAGGGGACACAGAGTAAGGGGTCTGGCTACAATTATTTGCAGTCGCATGCACAGATCCGTGCTTAGGGTGCCACTTGTTCAACTTAACCTGCATCATAGGTGGTAGGTATCACAGGCCAGAGGAGGCGCTTGTATCGTGAAATTTCTCTATGTGGCTCTGCCCATGTTCTCTTTTGCTTCCCACCAGTGCTCTTCTTAAAATGTGGAAATAATATACTATCCCACAAGCAACAAACCTTTAATGATGGAGTGCCCAAGACACTTTTAGCAGGTGTCTGAGACGACAGTTCTTTGTTTTCCAACTTCTTCTCTCTAAAAGGTGTGAAATTCTGGGATAAAGATTTTTCTGAATTAACTGAGGCAAGCTTTAAGCTCGTTTTAGGAGTCTCTATAAAGGATGTTTGTATTTTCTAAAAAAAAATAATACATGAAAATATATTAAAATAAACAACATATTACAATGCCCACTTACTACTATTTTCATTTAGTTTCATTGTACATGACTATTAACACAAATCATAACATTTTACAAAAAATCAAAGTAAAATTCACCTTATGCTTTTTTTCTTTTTTAGAAACTCCATTTTCTTTTGCTTCTCTTATTAGCTTTTCCTGTTAAAAAACAGAATTGTAGAATAAGTAGTAAATGCTCAATTTACAAATATTTTAACTGAATGTATCTTCTGTACAATAATGGAGTAGTATGCAAGTTCAGCGTTCCGTTATTAACACATGCCTGAATATATGAGCAGAATTTAACTAAATTTCAGACTTCAGTAGGCATTAAAAAATGGAAACAAGAATTAACACATTTATCTCTCTATATATTTTACAGTGCATCAGTCTGTCTGTGAGTCTGTCTGTCTGATCAAGAACACTTCCTACTTACTTAACAGAGATAGAGATGCAGCCGTGCTAGTTTGGTGTAGCCGAAACAAAAGACAGAACTATGTAGCACTTTAAAGACTAACAAGATGGTTTTTTAGGTTATGAGTTTTTGGCTGTGTCCAGACTCGGGTTTTTTCGAAAAAACTTCACCTGCGTCTAGACTACAGCCGCGTTCTTTCGAAATTAAATCGAAAGAACGCGGCTTTTCTTTCAACGGCGGTAAACCTCATTTCATGAGGAAGAACGCCTTTTTTCGAAAGTGGTCTTTCGAAAAAAGGCATTCTTGAATGCCAACCGGGTTTTTTTAGAAAGAGAGCATCCAGACTCACTCGCTGCTTTCTTTCGAAAAAGCGGCTTGCTTTTTCGAAAGTTCCGCTTGCAGTCTAGACGCTCTTTTTCGAAAGAGGCTTTTTCGAAAGTATCTTTGTAATAAGTATCTTTCGAAAAAGCCTCTTTCGAAAGAGGCTTGCAGTCTAGACGTAGCCTTCGTGGGCCAAACCCACTTCCTCAGATCCAGCAGAAGAGTCTGTCTTATCCCGGGGGCTTTCTTTCTGCCCCACCTCGCCCACTAACTGGATTCAATTTTGTGGTGACCTTGAGGCTTTCTTTCACTGCCTCCATCTATGAGAATATTTCCAAACTACTACTGAACATCAGTCTAACCAACCAGATCCCCCCTATCAACACCAAAAGAAAAACAATTCTATATGGACTCCCCCTGATGGTCGGAATTGCAATCTGGATGTCTATATACAATGCTTCCACAACAATGCAGAGATTGACATTATTCACAAACAACAAGCGACATCCAATCTCAGCCATGCTGAACACTATGCCATCCAGAGTCTCAAAAATAACCCAGACATTATAATCAAACCAGCTGACAAAGGGGGTGCTGCGTTCATTATGTATAAATCCGACTACGACCAGGAGGCAACTAGACAACTCTCCAACACCACATTTTACAAACCTCTCTTCTCTGATCCTACTTCAGAATACCAAAAGAAACTACGCTGTCTCCTTAAAAAACTCCCCACCTCTACTCAGGACCAAATACACACAGACATACCTTCTGAACCCCGACCAGGATTGTTCTATCTGCTTCCCAAAATCCATAAACCTGGACACCCTGGATGCCCCATCATCTCAGGTATCGGCACGCTCACTACTGGATTATCCAGCTATGTAGACTCTCTTCTCAAACCCTACGCAACCAATACTCCCAGCTATCTCCGAGATACTACTGACTTCCTGAGAAAACTACAAAACATCGATAACCTCCCTGATAACGCCATCCTTGCTACCATGGATGTAGAAGCTCTCTACACCAATATTCTACACGAAGATGGATTACAAATAACCCCTCACCCCCACTCTGTTCTAAAATTCGATTTGTCAATTTCACATGCGTTCATTTTTTTTTATTGTGTCACTTTGGGATATATGGTTGTGCGGATTTTCTTCCACATATTGATCTGAGGAAGTGGGTCTGGCCCACGAAAGCTCATCACCTAATAAACCATCTTGTTAGTCTTTAAAGTGCTACATAGTTCTGTCTTTTACTTACTTAACAGCCATTGAAGGTGCAAACAGCTCTTTGTGTAGACTCCTATGTCAGGAAGGATACTATCTATTGACTTTGATTCTTATCTGCTTCGTTTTAGCTACCCAATCTTCAGATACTTACTGATTCCCTCTAGCTCCCTGTCTTTCACCCTCTCTCCTTTTTACCCTTTTCCCTCCCCTTCCCCTCTCCTATTATTTTGGGTCTGCACATCCTAAACTCAGAACTCAGGTCATCTGAAGAAGTGGGCCCATGATACCACGAAAGCTCCTGATAACATCTACATGTTTTGTTAATCTATAAAGTGCTACCAGACTATTTGTTGTTTTCTTCCTAAACTGTAAGAGCTAGAATCACCAAATTTGGTATGCAGCTTTCTGTTACTCTAATTTAAACCAAGGTCCATAGCACTAAATGACATAGCCACAGGGTCAAGCCAAAAATTTTAAAATGTCATGCCACAATACATACCTTCTCTTCAATCTCTATTTTAAACTGCTCCTTAAGGGATAACAGTTCATTTTTCACATGAGAGAGCTCAGTTTCCTAAAAATTATAATCAAATAAGTGTTATTAATTTTGTTACATTATAAAAAGAAAAACATTCAAAATAAAATCATTTCATTGTAATTTTAAAAATATATAAATGTATCAGTAACAAACTACCATACTGTTCAACTTTTCACTTAAATGACAGAATTAATTCTAAAAATAACACACAGTGAGTACCTCCAAACACAGTCATTTACAGTCCTAAGGTTACGTTAGATGTTTTGAACTAATGGAGTTTCCTATCAGAGGAACTGCTATATTCAGCATGAATTAGTTAAACTGTAGACTTGGATCAACCCCTTCCCATGGAAATATATGTGTGAAAACTCCTGTAAACGGGAATTTTCATAAGAATCCCACTCTGAGTTTTAGGGGGATGAGCAAGGCAAGCTACACTGTCACGAGACTCCTCAGTGACTTTGTGACTACTCTCAAAATGAGATTTTGTCAGATTAAAGCAGGGCACAGAAAACTTAATACAGTAATAGGTTAGGTTATTTTTATTTTCTTCAACAGATGAAGTATTATTGAGAAATGTAATTATTAATATTTGGACAGGACTATTCAAGTGAAGCAGTTTTAATCTTGTTATTTATGGCATTATTACTACCAGGGAATAAATGACACAGTAGTTCCTTAATCAAATAGAGTGGAGAAAACATTCAGAGACCATCAAGAGAAAAGTAGATATAAAAAGATACTTGCTTACATTTCACTGAAAACATTTTATCCTGTATCACATATACAAAAACAGTAAGTAAGAAACATAGAAATTGGGGGACTAACTTTCATTGTACAGTTCCAGAATATAAAGTACACATCTAAAATAAGGAAAAAATAAATAGTAAAAAAGAAAAAATTATCTAGTCATGTCACACTTCTGCAGCTGTTTCTTTTAATTTTATCATAGTTATTTACTATTAAGGTATAGCTCTTACCAAGGATTTTTTTACTGATATTTGTTCTTGTTCTTTTGTCTTACAGAGCTCTAATTCTGAATCTTTTTCTTCGACCATTTTATCATATTGGTGCTGTATAAAAAAGAGTTGAATGTGTAAGTGTGATAATGAAAAATGATTACTTAAAAACAACTAATATTCATTCTTTATTCAAAAGTTACAAACAGATTACTTTTTCGGATACAAAACTCATTTGACATTTAAATGATACATCTCTTATCTTAACTCTTTCTATGGGTCCTACTCATACTTTTTCTCTACACAATAACAGATAGGATAGAAGATAGGATACACAAAGAACAAGTTAAAAATCACTTAGGAAAGTTAGATGTCAGCAAGTCACCAGGTCCTGATGAAATACATCCCAGGATACTCAAGGAGCTGATAGAGGAGGTATCTGAGCCTTTAGCTATGATCTTTGAAAAATCATGGAAGACAGGGGAGATTCCAGAAGACTGGAAAAGGGCAAATATTGTGCCCATCTATAAAAAGGGGAATAAGAACAACCCAGGAAACTACAGACCGGTCAGTTTAACGTCTGTCCCAGGGAAGATAATGGAGCAGGTAATTAAGGAAATCATATGCAAACACTTGGAAGGTAATAAAGTGATAGGGAATAGCCAGCATGGGTTTGTGAAGAAAAAGTCAAATCTGACAGCTTTCTTTGATAGAATAACGAGCCTTGTGGATAAGGGAGAAGCGGTGGATGTCATATACCTAGACTTTAGTAAGGCATTTGATACGGTCTCGCATGATATTCTTATTGATAAGCTAGGCAAATATAACTTAGATAGGGCCACGATAAGGTGGGTACATAATTGGCTGGATAACCGTAGTCAGAGAGTTGTTGTTAATGGTGCTAAATCCTGCTGGAAAGGGATAACAAGTGGAGTTCCGCAAGGGTCTGTTTTGGGACCCGTACTGTTCAATATCTTCATCAATGACGTAGATATTGGGATAGAGAGTACGCTTATTAAGTTTGCAGATGATACCAAACTGGGTGGGGTTGCAACTTCTTTGGAGGATAGGGACATAATTCAAAATGACCTTAGCAAGTTAGAGAAATGGTCAGAGGTAAACAGGATGAGGTTTAATAAAGAGAAATGCAAAGTGCTCCACTTAGGAAGGAACAATCAGTTCCATACATACAAGATGGGAAGCGACTGTCTAGGAAGGAGCATGGCGGAAAGGGATCTAGGGGTCATAGTGGACCACAAGTTGCATATGAGTCAACAGGGTGATGCTGTTGCAAAAAAAGCAAATATGATTCTGGGTTGTATCAACAGGTGTGTTGTAAGCAAAACTCATGAAGTCATTCTGCCGCTCTACTCTGCACTAGCTAGGCCTCAGCTGGAGTACTGTGTCCAGTTCTGGGCGCCACTTTTCAAGAAAAATGTGGAGAAATTGGAAAGGGTACAGAGAAGAGCGACAAGAATGATTAAAGGTCTAGAGAACATGACCTATGAAGCCAGGCTTCATGAACTGGGCTTGTTTAGTTTGGAAAAAGAAGATTAAAGGGGGACATGATAGCGGTTTTCAAATATCTAAAAGGGTGTCACAAGGAGGAAGGAGAAAATTTGTTCCTCTTGATTTCTGAGGACAGGACAAGGAGTAATGGGCTTAAAGTGCAGCAAGGGAGGTTTAGATTGGACATTAGGAAAAAATTCCTAACGGTCAGGGTGGTCAAATATTGGAATAAATTGCCAAGGGAGGAGGTGGAATCTCCCTCTCTGGAGATATTTAAGAACAGGTTAGATAGACATCTGTCAGGGATGGTGTAGACAGAGCTTGGTCCTGCCTTGAGGGCAGGGGGCTGGATTCGATGACCTCTCGAGGTTCCTTCCAGTCCTATGATTCTATGATTCTTTGGGGTAATTTAAAAGCATTTTATCTCCTCAGTAAGAAATCAAATACACCAGTGTTTAAAGGTTGGCTATACCAAACCAGTTTACGAACATTGTCACTTAAAGGGTACGTCTAGACTACAGGCTTTAGTCGACAGAGGCTTTGTCGACAGCTACTGTCGACAAAGCTTCTGTCGACAAAGAGCGTCTAGACTACATCCAGTTCTGTCAGCAAGGCAAGCCGCTTTGTCGACATGAGAGTGTAGATGCAATAACGCATTCTGTCAACAGAACTCTGTCAACAGAAGGCGTTATTCCTTGTAGAATGAGGTTTACCGCCATCGACAAAACTGCCAAGTTCTGTCGACGTTATGTTGACAGAATTCGGCGGTAGTGTAGACGCAGGTATAGTTTTGTCGACAAAAGTCTACTTTTGTCGACAAAACCCTGTAGTTTAGACACACCCAAACTGAATGGTACAGAGTGTTTCACTAAAATATGGTAAACTAAATTACCCAATGTCATTGAAAAGTTAGGGGACTTACTAGAATGGGTCCGAATTAACACTGAAAGAAAATGGGAGACTGGGATCAAAAAGAATCTGAAATGCCAGAAAGTGCTTACAAGTAGCCTTCCCACATGGAAACATTGATCATTTAAAATTCTGGTTAAGGTCCATATTTTCTTTCTTCCATAAAAATATGTCACAGATTCTACCCCACTCCCACAGGCTTTATCAAAATTGACTTATGAATATACATACCTTGAAGATGCTTTAGGCAAAATGCACCATGTGACATCATTATTAAAGTTACAATCTGCTAAATGTGTATATCCTACTTCTGTAAATGTATAATTCTTGTATGTGAAGTTAGAAATATGAAGTGTAAATCTTTTTATAATTCTAAATGTGCTTATAAGGGCCATTAGTGGTACTCCAGAAACATAATAGCACAGTACTCAAATCCACGATCTAGCAGAGGGAAGGTAGGGCTTTGTTATCCCTGTAAACCCAAATTGTTGTTGGTCCTACAGACATGTGACCAGGCCATCTGAAAATGAAACACACTGTGGATGTTGTATTTTTCCACTCAAGGTGAGACAAGTATGAACTGAACTCAAAGAATTCTCACCTTGGGCAAAGGGAATATAAAGGTGATAAACTGAATAACAGGGGCAGATGCCAGAAGTCCCCACTTAACACCCAAGATGTTTGCTGGAAACTAAGTATGAATGGGGAAAGGATCGAACCCAAGCGAGGAGGCTGCCTACTTGTGAAAAAGATTATTAGAACTTCTGTTTGGGCAAGAATTTGCATGTAACAAGTTTCTTAGTGTATTGGGCTTAATTGGCATGTTTTATTTATTTTGGTTTAGTAACCTACCTTGATCTGTCTGTTTTCACCTGCTATTGCTTAAATCCTACTTTTTATACTTAATGAAAACAAGCCCAGTGTAAATAATTGTTACATGCGGGGGAGCGGGAAGGGGAGGAAGAGCCACAGCTGTGCATATCGCTCTTTCATTGATAAAGAGAGCTAACTATTAGCTTTCTCTGTGTAAAATTTGTATACAGAATAAGATAGATTTATTTGAGGTTTTGGACCCTTTTCATGGTTCTGTTCTTGGATACTATCAAGGCCCTATAGCTGAGCCCTGCCAGAGCCGAGTTGGTTTGGTGTCTGAGTTGCTCTGCTGGCGGCTGTTATCTCAACTCTCTGCTTTGGCTGGAGGAGACCAGAGGGCAGGTTGGTGGGCTCAGTGGCATAATCAGCACACTGGGGAACAGCCCCGAGGGGACCACTGTGATCAAACCTGTCGCAGTGTGCAAATGTAATACCTCAATATTTGCGATTCCAAAGCAGCTCTAGGAGAAATGCATGTCTGCTACAGTATTATTAGGGATTGCCAAATACTTCTGCAATATTATAACTTCTGATTCTATACATATTTAGGAGTTAATATAGTGAAGAAATGCCTTCTATCATTGATGATACATTTCTTCTTGGTTGTTAAAAGACTGAGCAGATATCCAGCTTAATTTTCTTAGATCTATGGTCTTAAAATAAACCTCCATTTCCTAGCTTCTAACACTTGGGATTTACGCAATTATACTGATTCCAGACATAATGTCATGTATTGTACATATGCAAAATAATTTTACCTTGTGTTTTTCCATAAGTGCTACCATTTCAGTTATCTTGTGTTGACATCGAATATCAGTTTCCTTCTGGAGGCATACTGCTTCATCAGCCATTAATCTCATCTTTTCTATCTGTTAATAACACAGCATTTTTTTTCCTAATTTTTGAGTAACATTGCAGTATTTTAATGAAACCTGCATTGCTCAATATAGTTTAGTTTCTGTTGTGACAGTCCACACTTAGTTGGATTTCCATTAGCTCAGAAGCCACCTTTTTTTTTTTATACGGCTTACCTGTGGTGCTCGCATTGTTGTATAGTTTACCTTTACTATAAGACAAGCAAAACTGTATGGAACCAAGTAAAAAAAAAATAAAAAATTAAGCTAAAAATATATACAAAGTTAAAGTATTATATATACAGGAAAACAAACGCTTTTTCGCAATGGAATTCTCTGAACATTTTCATTTTATCAAATAGGAAACCACTGCTATTAATTCAGTGAGACAGAAAGATGTAGTCTGAAGTTGTTCTAACAATTATAATAATATGGATGAAATGAAAAACTTGATTTGTAGTATTTCCTTTTTTGTGGTATTAGAATCTTCAATACTGAAAATTTAAAAAGTGTCTGGCTGCCCTGCAAAAACGTTTGCAAAATAGATGTTTTAAAATCTTAGTTCTTTTTGTTCTTATTTCAGTCTGGTACTTGCTAGCACAAAAAATTACTGTGCAATTACCTTTAAAATAACATATGTTTTATTTTAAATTTTCTTGTACTAGAATATACATTAGTTGAAAGACAATGTAACAAAGCAAGGCCGTATTTTCAAACTTAGATACCTAAACTGATGTGCCCAATCCATATTGAGATTCCTAACCTTTATTTAGGTGTCTAACTTTAGAGAGACCCAGATATGAACATTTTCATGTAAGAACTCAATGCTCCATGTCTATGCTGACCAGTATTTGTAGTTCTCACACAAACAGCTCCACTGACTTTGACACAGATCTGCACCCCACCTAGCTACTGTGCATCCAGATCACTCACTGAGTCATCCACACCCAGATCGCCCCACACCTGGATCCCTACACACTACCCCCCTCCACAGCTGAATCATGCTGGGCTGAGCGTGCCCAGCCAGACCTGGTATGCCTAGCACAGAGGGGCAGGGCCAGCCCTTACACTGTCAGATGCAGTCTCATTGCCAACTTCCTGTACTGGGGGAGAGGGGTTTTAGGGTGATATTCCCATGTCAATGGAGCCAGTGCTCACCACAACTATAATTGTAAAGATCTGGGGTTTTCTTAATGTCACTGACTTCCAGTAGGACAATGGACCCATCATTTAAGGCTTGATCTCAAGGGAAGTTTTTCTGCTGATTTAAAAAACAACAGTGGATAAGGAACTTAATTATCCCATGCCTCAGTTTCTTCATCTGAAAAAAAGAATTATAATACTACTTGCCTGCCTCACAGGAATTTGTATAAATTCATTGGATTTAGTTAGGTGTTTTGATGTCATCAGATGAAAAGTGCTGAGAAGTGCAATTTTGCAAAGTGGTTTTTACAATTTCAAAACCTTTCTGCACTCCTCCTGCATTACAGGGAATTTATTTTTGAACTTTATGGGATGACTTCTCCTCCCACTGAATGATGCTGAAGCAATTTGCCAGAATAGGCAGGAGTAGTGAGAGCAGGGCCCCACCAGGGCTATCACTACTTTTTAAAGGGCTAGACAGTGCTGGCTGGCCAGCCAGACTTATGCTGCTTGTGCATTCAGTGTGTGCGCTGCAGGATCATTCGTGTCAGCAAGCACCCTGTGTTGGCATGTCCTCAGGGCAAGGGCCTGCTAAGTGGTACTGGGTAGACCAATAAATGCCCAGGAGGAATAGATTCCCTCTCCACCTGGTCTAGAGCCCTTCAGAGCATTCCCAGAGGTAAGCAATGGTCTGGCCTACGGCAATTAGGTTTTTTTATTTGTTCAAATTCTGTGATGGGCAGGGCTGGGGGAGCACAGTGAGCTTGAGTGGTGAGAGGTTGGGAAGAGAGAGGTGCAGAGGAAAGAAAGGGCAGGGCAGAGGAAGGAGGAACATAGTGGCAGGGAGGAGAGGAGGTATTGGTAGGATAAGTTTCAATTCTTTTCAGCCTCATCTCTTTTCAGTGGATGGGAGATAATATTTGCCTGGTGAGAACAAGGTTGGGGATTTGGTTCCTGACCCCTGGGGATATTGGGTATGCCAGTCTGGTACATAAAGCTGGCACCACCATGCTGCCTCAGTGGGCCATTTTGCTGCCTTTGTTCTGAGAGCTGTACAGGTGCTTTGGTTAAAGCAGCAGCCAGCCTTTATTTTACTGACAGGATCCATGTCCCTTTACAATTCTTATTCCTTGTCCGAAGTGCTTACAGCTGATAGGAAGAACTCAGCTTGTTTGAGGTGGTAGCTTTTGTAGTCTGATTTCAGCCATTTTCTTCCTGTCCAGAGCAAATGCCAGCTGAAAGTCAGGCCTGACACCTTGTGAGGAGAGGACAGAGATTTCTCAATTCGCTTTAACTGGTGCACTCAGAGTATCCCAAGAAGCGTGGGAGTCAGCTCTGCCTTCCCACAACACTGCACTGTGGGATGCTTCCCCACAATACTTTGCTCTATCTGTCTGAAGGGGAGCTAGCAATGTGACCATGAAATGTCGACAACGGGAGGCAGAAAAAACAGTTTGACTGGTGTGATGCATAGGAGTGCTGGCCAGCACTCGGTGACTAAAGGGTTAAACTCAGGTAGCTAGCTAGGGTATTGGCAGGGGACCAGAAGAACCAATGGGGATACAGTGCTGAAATTTGAATTGTATAAGATTCCTTGCCTGCTTCCTTTGTGTGGGCAAGTTACACCAGGAGTTGAGAGACAAAGAATGATTTAAACCCAGTTAGGACTACCATGACTACAAGGGCATGGAAGTGGACTGAAACAGGAAGGGACAGTGAGTAAATAAAGGGAAATGTGTAATTAGTTATTATTAGAGTATTTTTCTTTGCTTTTGTGGTTTGGTTTGAACTTCTCTGTGTGAATCCATGCCTCCTCTCCCCCATTCGTGTTGTTCCGAGAGATTTTCTGTGTTGTAATTTGCTTTACTTAGTTGCTCTGTAACTCCTAGCAATCAATAGTAATAGAGATGTAGCCATGTTAGTCTGATCTTGCTGAAACAAAAGACAGGACTATGCAGCACTTTAAAGACTAACAGGATGGTTTATTAGGTGATGAACTTTCGTCATCACCTAATAAACCATCCTGTTAGTCTTTAAAGTGCTGCATAGTCCTGTTTTGGTCCTAGCAATCAAGTATGCTTTAGCAAGTATAACTTTTGTTTTGTTAATACAAATCACACTTTTAAGGTGAGGATTTGATTTTTGTGTCCTGGAAAATCACAGGGGTCTCTGTGTGTGTATATTTACCTGCCTAAGACTGGGCAGTCAGAGATCAGAGATTGCAGCTTGTTTCTCTCTTTTACTTTTTCAAGCTCTTTTGGGGCAAAAGAGCTTGGGGTACTCCTGAGGGAAGAATTCAAGTGTTCCCTCCTGTTTTCTTTTAGGGTAAATCATTTGATGGTGGCAGCTTTTGGTTTTTTTTCTCCGAGCCAGTGCATCTGTGACTCTGGGGAGTTTTTGTAAGCAGAGCCTATAGAGGCAAGTTATTCAAGGTCTTTGTGGGCCCCCACATTCTGCATTCAGAGTTCCAGAGGGGGGAACAGCCCTGACTCATACTCTATTTTGTTGAAAAAGAAACTGCAGAAAAGTGGAGTGTTTTTCAAAAATAATTTGCTTACATTCAGGGATTTGGCTGGAAAGGGACAAGCACACAGTGAGTAGGGACATGGAATACACAGGGAAGGGGAGGGAAAAGAGGAGGGAGACATGGAAAGGGGCAGGGTCTAGGCAGGGGATGCTACGGCTTCCCCAAGTGGAAGCTTCACTCACTGTTCATGCCTATATGCTATTCTGTTTCAATTTCCTCATCTGTCTCAGATTTCTCCTCAGAGTTTTCTGGGATTTGGTTAAAGTTAAGTAGGACAGTGGCAATTAAAACTGTGTGTTGGGACCCCAAAGTGGATTGCAAACCCATTTTAATGGGCTTCTCAGGACTTGCATTAGACTCATTGGGGCCTAGAGCTAATGCCCAAGCTCCACCACCCAGGCTTTGGCTTTGTCCTTCATTGCAGCAGGGCTTGGATGGGCTCAGGCTTTGGTCTCCTTTTGAGTGTTCTTTCAGAAGTGGATCATTGTCCTTTCACGGTTCCAAGTCTCCTCTCCTTGACTGCATTCCTCCAGCTCATAGTTTCTCCTCCAAATCATGGAGTCTTTCTTTTTTTCCTCATGTCACTTTAGCTTTGACATGGGCTGGTCCCTAATATCAAAGTCTTCTTCCAAAATGCTGTCTCTTTGTTCCTGTCTCCTGCATCATGCTTTCTTCACCCTCCCAGATTCTGTGTTTTTTTTAAAAACTAGCACCAACAGCTTGGTTCTTTGTTTTGCTCATCGGGGACTGTCCACTTTTCAAATCCCCCTCACACAGATGTTAAAGAAAACTGGTTCTTCAAGGCTTCAGCCACCACATTGTCCAAAAAATGGTCCCATTTCATTTGGATCCATTCACATTAATAATTTAATTTGTTTTATCTGCAGCTTTTCCCAACCCTTGACTTACTACAAATTGAAGGTTGTGATTACACACAGAGTTCATTATATCTAATAGAAGTCATAAATTGTACATAGACAGCTTCCTCATAGGGCCACAGGTGTCCACAGAACTATAACATATGAAAGGAGTTCAGGATCAACCCTAAAATATTTTACAAAGCACATTAAAGATTTGAGTAATTTGAGAATTTATCCAATGAATCCAAAGAAACAGTAAATTTTAATAATTCTTACCTTTTCAAGAACTTTTTCTTCTGCTATATTTTTTGACTCAATTTCTTTTTGGTAGCTTTCAACTGTTTCCTTATGCTGCCTATTTACATTTTCAAGTTCTAGTTGTAATTTATTCACCTTTTAACAAGACAACATAATTTCAATTAACCATTCAGAAGAAAATTTTATATATTGACTCATTTAAGTAGTTACTGTACTGCAGATACAAGATGAGTGAAGTAGTGTCTTTTATTGGACCAACTTCTGTACTAGGACAGCTTATGTTCTATTCAAGATTTTATTTTTTTAAACAAGCATCTCAGCTATTGCCTTTCACTTTTTTTCCCCCTGATTACTGGAAAACAGTATTTTAAATTAAATCACCCCTCCCATAGAAAACCCTATAGAAAAGGAAACATGGAAGTTAAACTAAGGCTACATGTACACTTTTGGCAACAAAAGTGCTGTCAACAGGAATATGTTGCCAAAACTGGAAACACGCCAAACCAGTTTTTCTGGTACCCGCTGTTGACAACTCATGGCCATATTTCTAGCCCTCTCATCGACAGAAAGAGCAAAGCATTGTGCGCATGCATCCCACAGTGCGTTGAGTCACCTTCACATGCTAAATACTGTGGGAATGCGCAACGCTACACATGTTGGGAACACCTGAATAATGCAGGGGGTGTAGTCTATATTCTTGAGTTCTGGAGTGAGACTTAGGTTAAAATGCCAGAAGAAATATGTCCTGATAGATATGGAACTGATAAACTACCTTAGGAAAGAATACAGGTTGAGATATTAACTGTACCTTGTCCTTAAACAACACAGTATAGGGGGGGCCTGATGTTCAGAGCCTAAGTTTTGACACTCTCCTGGCCGAGGTTATAGACACCAGGAAAACTATCTTATAGGAGAGGTAAAGAAAAAAAACACGTAGCTAGGGGTTCAAATGAAGGACCTATCAGTATCGACAGTACTAGGTGGAGGTACCTGCAGATAAAGCCTGTCTAGACCTTTTAGGAACCAGAAAATTATGGGGTCAGAAAATACCATGTGGCCTGGAACCTCAAGGTCGAATGCCAATATGGAAGCCAGGTGGACTCTTATGGATGAAACTGAAAGACCCTGCTGCTTGAGATGGAGGTAATCAAGGACAAGTGGGATTGGTGCTAACACAGAAGATGAAACCTCTTCCACTTGGCTAGGTAAGTGGTTCTTGTGGAGGATTTCCTACTACCCATAAGGACTTAACAAACCGGGTCTGAGCAGAGAAGCTCCCTGGGATTCAGCCAGGGAGCTTCAAGATTGTGAGATGCAAGGAGTCCAGGTTCGGATGTTGAAGACAGTCTTGGTTCTGTGAGAGAAGGTCTGGGTAAAGAGGAAATTTTACTGATACATTCACTGACATGTTCAGTGCAGATGAGGCCAAGCTGGCATACTAATATGATGCGTGCTTGATCCCTCTTGATTTTTAGGAGTATGTCATGGCTCCTTCCCCACTCTGGCATGATAAATGCAGAAGGGGGGGCAGCAAGTGTACCCCAAAGCCTTATCTACCAGGCTTTGGTATAAAACTTCCCCCAAAATCTTAAAAACCTAGATTTTGGGAGCTGCCACCACCCAAATGTTGCTAAAGAAACCAGGGGAAAGATCATTTGGGAAATCTTCCCCCTAAAACAAAAATCAGGGCACACCATTAACCACTGCCAGGTTAATAAAAGAAAAGAAAGAACTTTTATTATTACAACAATATTCCTGTTGCAGGCATAATGACTAGAGGGGAAGGTAACAAAATATACTCATGGAGAAACTCCATGGGCCTAGAACTTAGTTACAAAGAAAAGCCAAAACATCTTTTAAGCAGTGCCAGACATCAGATCCCATACCCAACCCTTAAACAATAAAGCCTAACGAAACTACCTAAAACTTTACCCTACTTACAGAAAATGAGGAATGGTGGAACGAGGTGGGATTCAGGTTGCTGGGGTGGTATAGGTCAGGACTGAGGCCTCCATGGGTTGGGAGAGGGGAATTGGACACCTGTAGACTTGTGCTCACACCCGACGGGCCTCTTGCAAGGCTGTGGGTTGTAGGGGATCTCACTGCTTTTAACTGTTTAATGCACAAATTCATCCCGATGCTTTATGTATAACATCTGAAAGGGCAGGTCGGAGCTGGCCCTTCACCTCTTCTTTGTCCCTCTCTGTAGCTGCAGAGCACCCTCACCGAGAGACAAAAGGGAGAAAAGAAAAAAACCCAAATTCCTTTGTCCCAGTTTGAAAAATCCCACCTACATTC